AATATAAATATGAATATATAAATTAGATTTTTTTTTTTCAAATTACAGATTTTTATGACAATAAGGGGGTGAAATGTGATTAACTATTATTTAAAAAGTGAAATTTATTGCATTTAAAATAAGAAATTTAAAAAAGACCATTATCATCCCTAATGGTCTGTAAGCAAATTATTATTCTTATTTTATTTTTTTTATTATTTTATTTATTTATTTATTTTAGCTTGGGATGAAATTAGACCCATATATGTTTTGACAGGTTTCATGAGATTCACCCAAAAACTGTACAATAAAACGCTTTGGATAATAAAAGGACCTGCTAAATGATTACTTATAGACCTACTAGTCTTTTAATAATTTGTCAAATCATGCATTATTTTTGGGTTGATTGAGTCAGATTCATTTTGCACCAGCAGGTGGCACTGTTGTCTATAATAACGGTGGGCCCTGAACCATGTGTAGTGAGAGGTTATTAAAGGTTTAAATGGCATGATAAAGTCACAATAATAGGCACCTTGTCATTCAATAACTGGCCATTCATCGTTTATAAATTATAATAACAAAAGTCTTCATCATGAGAATGGCAGCATATTGCAACATTTTCTTTCTAAATATGAGATTCTAATTTAGTCTTATTGACAGAGTAAAAGTACAATTGATCATTTTTACTGGTAGTCTGTGGTTATGTAACAGTATGGATGTGGAGAGAGGTCTAATCCATAGCATAAGTGCCTGCACACTGAGATAAACATGCGTCCAGAGGAGGGGTGATATGGACAAGAAGAGTTTTGAAACTCTGAAATGTCCTTTATCTCGCATGTCCAGATATAACAGTTGCAAAACCAGAAGTCGCAGATGTGAAATGGGAATGTAGACCACAGTTCAGTTTGAGGGTTTGTGCATGATCCATTTTGCATGAATATACTGAAAAAGAATAAAGCATGAAGTTCTCCTGAGGTTTGGTAGAGCTTGACTTAACAGTTGCTCATTATCAGTTGGAGTCTTTCCTGGAGTGCAGAAAGACAGTTGTAAAGATCAACATTCACAATTCTTTCTTTTAAACCAGTGGAATAAGCTTTGTGTGATTGTTACTGATCTTTTGGTCTGTCTGCGCTCTTTTGAACAGCACCTTCTCTTTTTTTGTTAAAACACCAATTGCATTGAACACACACATGATAAACTCATTATTCTGTCTGTCTGAGCAAAAGGCTTGGAGACATGGGCTTTATGGTGACCAATCACATCCACTTCACATGAGCATGTGACAAGTGGCTGCAGGGCTTCCATTTGGCCAACAACACATGTAGACATCTTTCATTCTTGCTTACTGGAGCTGACTATATAGCATCTTTAACAGTATTTTTTATATTAAAATAAACAACACAAACACATAATAATAATAATTATAATGAAAATTGTATTAGATGATAAAGTATAAAATGTATAAATGTTATAAATAAAACAAAAATAATACAAAAAGTATATATAATAATATTTAAAATGTAATTAATCGAGCCTACATACACATGTAATAAATAAAATAACAATAGAACTATATAGCATCTTTAGGAATGTATTTGTATATTAAAGCAATGTTTATAAAAACATTTTAAATAAAAAGGGACAAACATCTAATGATAAATAAAATTATGTATATATAATTTAAAAAATTGATCCTGCATACACATATATTATGAATCATTTATCTAAAAATGTAAATAAATGATATATTTAAAAAAAAAACATTTAAAAAAAATATTTTTTAACATGATAAACTCATTATTCTGTCTGTCTGAGCAAAAGGCTTGGAGACATGGGCTTTATGGTGACCAATCACATCCACTTCACATGAGCATGTGACAAGTGGCTGCAGGGCTTCCATTTGGCCAACAACACATGTAGACATCTTTCATTCTTGCTTACTGGAGCTGACTATATAGCATCTTTAACAGTATTTTTTATATTAAAATAAACAACACAAACACATAATAATAATAATTATAATGAAAATTGTATTAGATGATAAAGTATAAAATGTATAAATGTTATAAATAAAACAAAAATAATACAAAAAGTATATATAATAATATTTAAAATGTAATTAATCGTACATACATACACATGTAATAAATAAAATAACAATAGAACTATATAGCATCTTTAGGAATGTATTTGTATATTAAAGCAATGTTTATAAAAACATTTTAAATAAAAAGGGACAAACATCTAATGATAAATAAAATTATGTATATATAATTAAAAAAATTGATCCTGCATACACATATATTATGAATCATTTATCTAAAAATGTAAATAAATGATATATTTAAAAAAAAACATTTAAAAAAAATATTTTTTAAACACTTTTTTTCTCCTCTCCTTCCCACTTTGGTCTTCACTAGGTAACAAGCTCTGGACTTCCGTTCTGGATGGGCGCAAAGAGATGTCCACATCCTTTGACCTTTGACTCCAACAATGTAAGTTTTACTGAGTAAATCCCCACACACAGCCCTTGGGATCTCCCATAATCCCCTGCAGACAGCATTGTCTAAGTTTAGATGACTCACAGTTTCTCTCCTGTTGTGAGTAAGATACTATCTGATATCAGTGATCACCTGTGATTAACAAAGCAAGGTGAAACCGTGTTAAACCCCCGACTTCTCTCACATAGACACACTCACACAGTGCCACATTAGCAAACAAGTCATGCTTTTCACAGAAACCCTTTCAGATACATGTATAAACTGAAAAAAAATCAAGAAAAACTAAATATTTTAATTAGGCATCTCTAGATATGCAAATGATTCCATTCTATAACCATTATTCTATTTTATGGCCCATTTTTTCCATTGTCTTGATTCTAGATTTGTGTTCCCCTAAAGGAATTCCTTTTAACTCATAACAGTCTGTTTGAATTCTGTGGTTTCAAAGGTTAGCTCATTTTGGGAAGTGTTGTTTTTTGAATGCAAAATCAAGCAAAAACACCTAAATATTTTAATTAGACGTCTCTTGATATGCAAATGATTCCATTCTATAACCATTATTCTATTTTATGGCCCATTTTTTCCATTGTCTTGATTCTAGATTTGTGTTCCCCTAAAGGAATTCCTTTTAACTCATAACAGTCTGTTTGAATTCTGTGGTTTCAAAGGTTAGCCCATTTTGGGAAGTGTTGTTTTTTGAATGTGCTACACACTTTCCCCTCGTCATTTCCTGTTAACCACTGCAGTTCTGTTTTCTCTGCATGTGTGTTTGTGATCCATGGCAAGTGTTTCCACCCTTCAGCTCAAAAACAAACACAAACGTGCAGTTTCACCTTAGATCTGCCAGCTACAATAAAACTATTTTGATTTGAGATTATTATTCTTTTGTTTTATAGACCACCCATATGGACTTCATTGTGGCAGCTGCCAATTTATACGGGCAGATCTATGGGATTACAGGCTCAAGAAACCATGCTGATATTCAGAGCATTCTGCAGGGAGTAAAAGTGCCCGAGTTCACCCCTAAATCCAGCGTAAAGATAGCTGTGACTGACCAGGAGCTGAAGGAGGAAAATGAAGAGAGAAAAGAAGGTGAAATTATAGGCTTAATATGAATATATGCAATAAAATTAAGTCTGTAAAGAATGTTAAACATGAAATATCTCTGCTAATATCCCTCACTGCTTCTCTTAGACAAAGTCAAGCTGGAGATGTTAAAGGAGAAGCTGTCCAAACACCTGCTGAAGGACCAAAGCTTCCGGATGCATCCACAGGAGTTTGAGAAGGTACCGTGTGTTTGTCAAGTCAAGTTTTATTTGTATAGCATTTTCACAATACATATTGTTTTGTGATGCCTCTATGAAACTATATTTCATATCATTTGTATTAAAGAAATAGTTGACCCAAAAATAACCCAAAATTTACTAACCCTCAGGCCATCCGAGATGTAGATGAGTTTGTTCCTTCATCTTAACAGATTTGGAGAAATTTAACATTCCATCACTTGCTCACCAATGGATCCTCTGCAGTGAATGGGTGCCGTCAGAATGAGAGTCCAAACAGCTGATAAAACATCACAATAATCCACACTGTAAAACATCAATTAACTTCTTGTGACGTAAAAATCTATCCATAATCCATAATAAAAAAAACTTCCTCTAGTGAGAAAGTCGATCCCCATTTGTCCTCTCACATCAAAATCCACCAACTCATTTGTTCAGACCTGTTAGGACTGTTTTTGCTTGTAAACGGTACTTGATCTGTGCATATTTCTCTCCTGATTCAGACGAGATGACTTTTCCACTGGAGAAAGCAATATTATGGATAGAGGTTGAAAACGTCTTAATGATGTATGCAGGTTTTTTTTTTACATACAGTACATGCAGATTTTGGCTTCACAATTCGTTAATTGATGGACTGGAGTGGTGTGGATTACTTGTGGATTATTGTGATGTTTTTATCAGCTGTTCAAACTCACCCATTCACCGCAGAGGAACATGTATCGTGTTTTTTTGTTATTTCGCCACCCATTAAAATGCATTGTATAGAACAAAAAGTAGCTTAGACATTCTGCAAAACATCTTTGTTTGACTTTACACTTACTAAAGAAAACTAAATGTGTTTGGAATGACATGAGTATGAGATGAGTATGATTTTCATTTTTGTGTGAATTATCCCTTTAGCAGTTTTAAAAAATTGGTCTGAAAAGTTAGTGTTAACTTTGGCATCCCCAGTAAATACACACATTTGGTATGTGCAGTGAGCCTGTCAGACACATTGGCATCTACTCTCAGGTAGGAGGTCTCATTCAACCACAAAATTGGCCCTAAAACATCCAACCCCAACTGCAGTTTTCATCGACCCTTAACCAGCTCCATCCATTACAGACCAGAGAAAACAGTCATCCTTTCTGTTGAGGCAGATCTTCTTCACAGAACCTCACCGCTGTGACATGCTTCTCAGAAAGAGAGCGCCCAACGCACAGACGGGTCTTATGAAAAACTTTGGATGCACGCTGGTTTAGTCAGTGTTCGCTTTGTTGTTTGTCGTGACTGCATAACACATAGGCTTCCACACACATACATGGAGACTGAATGGGCAGCAGTCTCTGAACAACATCTCAGTTGTGTTTTCTGTTAGGAAGAGGATTAGTCTCAGTCTGTGTGTTTCTCTGCATGTATCTGTCTTTGATTTTCACAATCTCTTCAGTCTTTAAGTCTGACCTGTACTATCGTTTCTCCATTTCTCTTTCTCTGGTTGCTTCTGTCTTTAGTCTTGTTTTCTCTGAAGATGAAAGCATTCTGGTATCCTTTTGGGAATGTTCATATGGCAAAGGTTTCTGTATATAAATGTACTGCAGGGTCCACCAGTCTGGAACCACATAGAAAATCTGGGATTTTATTTGATTTAAACCTGAAAATGAACAAAGATTTAAGATTTTGAACATTTTAAAACCAAGAATAGTTATAATGAAGAAAAAAAAATCAGATTTCAGATTCTGCTCTATTTCTTGGTCACAAATGTAAGTAAATGAGTGACATTGATCATGTGACTCTGTAAGAAGATGGTCAGAGTTATTTTAGTATCATGGATAATATACTATTAAAGTTTGTAATAACCCTGGCATAAGATGCTTGTTGGAATATCTCAAATGATGCTGGAGAACATGATTTGTGCATCTATCATAAAGTAAAAGAGAAACAGTTCAAATACTAAGACATTATAAATTCATGTTTTTTTAGACTGATAATATAATTTGTAATGCAAGAATTCTATTAAATTAGAAAAATGAAACATTTCTCTAGTGGACTCAGACTTTTGGGCCCCACTGTTTGTATTATATGTCCGTATGCATGTGCAAGTGTGTGTGTGCACTTTAAGCGATGACACGTTCTTTGCCAGATCAGATGTTTTGTTTTTCCAGTGGAATGCGTGTTTGGGGGATTCTGGTGGCATCAGGTTGCCAAATTATATACTGCGCTCAAACACCCCCACAGTTGCCCCCAACACACCCAATACTGGACAGTCTTTGTAGTGCTGCTATGCCTGGGGTGTAAGAAGAGTGCCAAAACCTCAAAACCAGGGTATCCTAGCATTCCTGCAATATCTAATATCAAACCAAAGTTCTTGAGGTCTGATTATGCTTAATGGCCTATTTGGTTTTTAATGGCTATATCTTTGAAAAGATCACTAGTTTATAAGTACAGTGGCATGCGAAAGTTTGGGAACCCCTTGCAGAATCTGTGAAAATGTGAATAATTTTAACAAAATAAGAGAGATCATACAATTTCACCCCCGGCTCTTAATGCATCGTGTTGCATTCTGGAGCATAAGTGAATGTTTGAACCTTTTTTAATAGTTGTGTTTGAGTCCCTCAATTGTCCTCAGTGTGAAAAGATGGATCTCAAAATCGTACAGTCACTGCTGGAAATGGTTCAAATATGCAAAAGATGCTGGAAATGCTGGAAAGGGTTCAAATATGCAAAAGATGCTGGAAAACTGAAGAATCTGCAGGACCTGGAGGATTTTTCTGAAGAACAGTGCTCAGTTTAACTGTTCAGAACAAACAAGGGACTCATGAACAACCATCACAAAACAAAAAAAACTGTCGTAGATCATCCACGTAACCACACACAGTATTAAGAACCAAGGGTTCCCAAACTTTTGAATGGGGTTATTTTTATAATTTCAGCTTTTTTTTCTTCTTGTGGACTAAATGTAAACATCTTTTATGTCAAATACCTTACTCGGGACAGTACTAAATAAAAAATAACATGCATTTTGTATGATCTCTCTTATTTTGTTAAAATTATTCACATTTTCACAGATTCTGCAAGGGGTTCCCAAACTTTCGCATGCCACTGTATATGATTTGCAAACTAGTTGAATCTGGAGCAGTTGCGGTCTGTTTTGTGTGACATCATGTGCAGTGTCACTGGAACATACATATGAATAAAATAGGAAGCTATCAAAGTTTTTGACACGGTATGACATCTTTGTCTAGTACCTGTTGTACCAAAGTGCGCAAACATACCTGTGGCTACATTTTGTTCCTGTTTTTAAGTTCTTCTTGTTTTTTATACAAGACTAAAGATAGCAATCAGCATCACACTTTGAACACAACAGGTCTTTTTTTCCGTTGCTTTTGCCCTATGGTAATGAATGAACAGATGTTGGTGAATATTTGCTGATGGACAAATCAAAAGGTGTTTTCCGAAGTTGAAAAGAAGTAAAGGACAACAATAAATGATGCAGCTTATTTCAGACTGTTCTGTTAATTCAGAGAAATATATTATTAAATATATTTTTAATTGGTATTTTTGTTTTCCACAAAAATATCTAAATATCCTTAAAACTCTATTACATATTAAATTAATGTATAATATAAAATAATAAAGTACATGAATAAAAATATTAATAAAAATAAATATTAAGTAAATTAGCTTGAAGCAAAATTTCATGATATTAAGACTTGTTTTTGGAAAATATATCTTGAAGAGTATCTTTTAGTGTTTATTTTTTATTTTCCCCGATTTGAAAAAAAAGTTTTTTCTATTTGTTTTAGGCATAACCAACACAAAATGTTAAAGTTAATGCATAAAAAACAGCACATTGGCCAATGATGTGAGTCTGATACATGTGTAGAGACAACCAAGACTGAATGGAAGAACGTTCTGTGCAAACCCCTCTTATGTGTCAGTGCTTATAATAATGCAGTTGTTTGTACATTACCAAATGTTCTTTTTTATTCTTGTGTTCTAGGATGATGACAGTAATTTCCACATGGACTACATAGTTGCAGCATCCAACCTGAGGGCAGAGAACTACGATATACCAACAGCCGACCGCCACAAAGTGAATGACTTTTGTTTTTGTCAAACAACTCTGCTGTGCTTTTGTTTGTGAGACAAGCTCTAAAGTGATCAACATTCCCCTCCCGGGGTTTGTGTCCTCAGTTCCTGTACATATACAGTACACCCTGAGGAAAGACTTTTTGATTATACAGTACTAGACCATAGAGTTCCATTCCAGATACTGTTTTTTGCATGTACTACTTACCATAAATATTTTGCATGACTTGATTGTACCAGTAAACATGTATTTGTAATTCACAAACAGTGCACATAAGTGCATATTTAAGTTAGTAATATCCTTTTTCTCATCTGCAGAGCAAGTTAATTGCTGGCCGCATCATTCCAGCAATCGCCACAACAACAGCTGCGATCGCGGGGCTGATGTGTTTGGAGCTCTATAAGCTTGTCCAGGGTCACCAGAAAATCACATCCTACCGCAACACATATATATACCTGGCCAACCAATACTTTGTCCCGTCACAGCCTTGTGTGGCCCCGACATTTACAGTAAGTGACAAAACTATTCACTTATCACCATCTAACATGAGTGTGTTGGCCTTTTTCTCTTTAATTAATAAATAACCAGCATAGAACAATAGAATGGCTTTGAATTCTATATGCATTTAGCATGAGGAGCTCTTAGCTGTTGAATACAATATATCATAATAGTTGAATGTACTGTATATATATTGACTATAAGTCTCTATTGGCTCTTTTTCTAACAAAATCTATTAAAGTAGTAATCCGCGACTCCCAATACAGGAATTTTACCATGGTTAAAGAGGGTTGTTAGTCACAATGCAAAGTACATTGGCTAAAACCTATTAACTCTAGTAAAATCATTGTAATGCATGGCGTCAAGTAGCAAAATTATAAAACGGCATTCAATTTATTTATATTATATTTGTATTATTTTATTAGCTGTATTAATATTAGTAATAATACTAAATATTATTATTATTACTATTATTATTATTATTAGTAGTAGTAGTAGTAGTATAATTATATAGCTAATAAAATACTAAAATATTATATTAAAATACAGTGTTAATATTATTTGTTTAATGATAATTTAAAAACTATAAAAAAATTAAAAACCTTAAATATTAATTTAATGTCTAATTACCAATAGAAATAATCATATTAATCAAGTTAATAGTAATAAGAATTTAGAACCAGAATTATTTTATTATAACAATTTGTTTTCATGTGTACACTGAAAAAAAAATGGTTTAAAAAAAATTGGTGTAAAAACAATTTTTACTCAGAAATTGCTAGTAAATTTCACAATTAATTACAAAGACTTACAATGAATTAAACATGCAATTTTGAAGTAGAAAGACGTTCTTGTAAAACATACTCCAGTAATCTTTGTCTTATTTACAGCTGTAAGAATTTATTTTTAATTTTATTTTTTTACAGTATCACTGTGCTTATGGTCTTCATTTGTTCAAACAATTGGTTTTAGACACTTATGGAAGACTAAAATGTTTGTAGTTAGAGTAAACATATTAGTCAAACGATTTTGTTCTCTATAATCACTCTTGTGCATTGAATAAAGGTCATTTTCACTGTGGTTGAGTTGTGCTATGAGGGCCGGGGGTGATGGGTAGGGAGTGATGGCTGGGGTGAAAGGCTACAGCATCAGTCTTCTGTCTACGTCTGGATCACTACAGGCTTTAGTGAACTTATTTTCATCCTCAGGGGCTTAAACCACTTAGTAACTGTACACTCACCCCCACAGACCCTCACCTGCCAACCTGGTGTGTTTGCTCCGTTTAGGGGACTTCCACTTTCAAAGGGAACGCGTTCAGATTTAGACAACTGATTATTCAGACAGACACGTACGTGCATGTATAAAGCAGCAAACCTCAAAAGAACTGCATGCAAAATCTGGAGTTTAAGTTTGAGCTGGTGTGCTTATGGGTTTATAATGACCGCTAGACTCTAAAAACAACTGAATGGCCCAAGATTTGTGCAGACAGACTTCATAGATGACATAATGCAAACCCCAGACACGGCCATCCACACATGGGGGGAGTGTTGTTTCTACCAACATGTGCAGGGTCAGAGTTGAGGGTAATTCTCACCCAAGGGGACAGGCGGTGAGCTGGGCTTTGAAACACACAAGCTCAGGTTACTGGTGCGATGTGACCATTTTCTGGAGTGTCCAGACTGCTCCTTTCTCAAAACACTCAACGCACACACACACACTGTTTGGATTACAAGAACATTCAGTGGCCCTGAGAGGTATTTAGACACCAAAGCCACACAAATCGAACTTGAACTTAACTTCATCATTTCTAACTTCATCATGTCTGCTTAATGTCTTTTAGTAATTCTCCTCTGGTTCACACAAGTGTCCTAGCAGAGGAACCACAGGTGTGGTTCATAACATTACCTGTCAACATGTTCCACTAACTTCAACAAAGTGACACAATATTTTTTGTATTCATTTTGAACAGTATATCAATTTTTTATCATTTAAATCCTAACAAACATCTTTTTGTAATACACTTTTCAAACTATTTTTCAATGTTTTTGAAAGAAGCCTCTTATGCTTACCAAGTATACAATTATTTGATTAACAATACAGTGAAGATAGTAATATTGTGAAAAAAATTATTACATTTTTAAATATATATTTTCTATGTTAATATATTTTAAAATGTAATTTATTCATGTGATGCAAAGCTGAATTTTCAGCATCATTACTCCGGTCTTCAGTGTCACATGATCCTTCAGAAATCATTCTAATATGCTGATTTCCTGCTCAAGAAAAATGTCTTATTATTATCAATATTGAAAACAGTTGCGCAGCCTAATGTCTTTGTGGAAACCATGATACATGTTGTTCAGGATTATTTGATGAATAGAAAGTTCAAAAGAACAGCAATTATTTAAAATAGAAATCAGAATAGGAATGTCTTTACTGTCACATTTGATCAATTCAATGCACCCTTGCTGAATTAAAGTATTAATTTCTTTTGAACGGTAGGTAATATTTTGCTTAAAGTGTGGATATCTTTCTTAGTTTTTAAGTGAGGCTTAAGTGTTCAGAAACTTTTCAGGACTACTGTGTAGAAAGGTTCTTGTGTCTAGAAGTTTAAACTTTCAGCCTTTCTTTTCCTTCATCTCCTCTTTCACTTTTTCCATCCCTTTTGTTTTGTTTGCATACCTTTTTCATATAACTGGCACAGTGTTCACTAGTCTTTTCCAAGTACAGGATGTGTGGAAACATTTCCACACATGGGACTAGTTGAGGTTGAGCTTTATTTTGTGATACTGATACTGTTTGAATGCAGATTAAGTTATTAAGTCGATTAGTTAACATTTCTTTTTTTTTAAACCTTTGTTTAGACTGTGATGGTGATGTTGTAGTCGCCATATTGGGCTTTATCAGCTGTCAGTGTATTAAATTGAGCTGTGAAAATATATCTATTAGTCTCCTTTCCAGCCACGTGGCGTCAATTGGAACAATTCATGGATTTAGAGGAATGAAAAACAAAAGAGAGACATATTTGACTGATCGGAAAGGCATAACAGTCAGTAGCTTACCAAAAAATAAATAAAAAAACTGAATTATGGAAATTTGACAGGTCACAGACTAAGAAGGTTATTCTACAAAAAAAAAATCTAGTCTGAGGAAAGACAGATATGCTTGTAGCTTCCTGTTTTCTACCAAGGACTTCCTTTTCAAAAGCCTCCACTATTTTTACACTCTCAAGATGAGTTTCAGAGAACTTGTTTATCAATCCTTGTGTCATGAGAATGACCTGGTTTAGTGTTGCAGACCTTATTTTAGGACTATATAAATTATGTCTTTTACTAAACTGTTAGTCACACGAGAGTTTTCCATTTTTCTTTTCATTTAAACTGCAATATCTATATAATAACATAAAGAAGCCCATATTTATTGTGGATAATAGTCAATTTAGCCCACTTTTACTGACCATGCATCAGTATTATACCATAGTATTTTTGTTTCCCAGCATGCAGAATTTTACTCTATGTGCAGTCTTACCATGGCATGGGAGAATGTGCCTTCATCTGAAGTGAGACAGAAAGTGCTCTGCCTGCAGGGGTTAATGCTGTGGCAGCTTCAGGTCCTTATTAGCAGCCTCTCAAGGCACTTTATGACACTCTGTCTGCCGTAACCCTGCAGAAAAGACCAGCATGTGTTTTCTTTTAGATGCTGGTTGTCAGCATGGGATGCTGGTGTGCTTGTGTCTCCATCGATCACTTGTGTGAGTCTGGTTCCTCTGAAGATCTTTCCCTCCACTGCCTGAACACATTTTTGTCTGTGTCAAAGTCACTTTTCGCTTGTTTACTGGAACTTTAAGGCACAATTTTCTGTAGAAAGCACTATGCAAATAAAAATGACTTGTTTTAGGTTTCATTTCTCTTGTTTTGGACCAGTGCTCTTTTGACGTTGGATCACTTGGACGCATCAGTGTGCATTACTGTTTGATACAAATGCGGTACAAACCCCATCTTCAAAGGTGGTTTGATCACAGGGGTAAATGGGGTCTAAAAGTCTGAATTTCTGCTACACAGTTGCCAATCTTTACTGGGTTAATTGGTACGTGGACCTTCATGTTTGAACCTGCTTCTGTTAATAAATCCATTTCTGGCAGCTTGGCTTTTCACCTGTAGGCATTAATGTAATAATTATAATTCAAGCCTTTCTCTCTCTTTATAGCCACAAGTGAATACATTTTTGTCCGGTTAAGTCATCTTATGCTGTTCATGACTTACAGGGATTCCGAACGTAAGCATTACTGTTCAAAAGTTTGGGGTCAAAAAGACTTTTCAATGTTTTTAATAGAAGCAACTTATGCTCACCAAGGCTGCATTTATTTAATAATAATAATAATGATAAAAACAGTAATAATGGATAATATTATTACAATTCAAAATAACTGTTTTCTATTTGAATATTTAAAAATATAATTTATACTTGTGATGCAAAGCTGAGCTTTCAAGACCATTAATCCAGTCTTCAGTTTTACATGATCTTTCAGAAATCCTTCTAATATGCTGATTTGCTGATCAAAACACATTTCCAACACTGAAAACTTGTTGTCCTGCTTAATATTTTTGTGAAAACCATGAAACCTTCTTTCAGGATTTCTTCATGAATAGAAATAGCAATTTAAATAGCAATTATTTAAAATAGAAATTCAATTTTTCAATTTAATTCAAGTTTATTTCAGTATCTAAGAAATCTTTTGTGTCATTATAAATGTCTTTAATTTCACTTTTGATCAGTCCTTGTTGTATTAGTACAGATTATTGTCATACTGGTCTAGTTTGTTATCCATCTTTGCTTAATCTAAAAGCACTTTGGATGTAAATATATCTGTGCATGTGCGAGCAGAGGAAACAGAGATGTGCTTTTAAATACAACAATTGTGCCGGTGAGTTGCTGAAAAGAAGAGCAAAATGAGATGCAACAATCAAATATGTCCATCTAATGCATGCCTATATAGACTAACAATTGAAAA